TATATATATATATATATATATATATATATATATTTGACCCTTGTCCTCAGTTCCTCCTGGCACAGAATTTCAAAGACGCTTGGAATTTCCTAAGTGACAGGAACGTCTTTTGTTATTTACAATGAGCCCCCACGGACCATACCTGAGTTTCTGCTAAACACTCCTGGTGGGCACTTAGTTTCAAGGGAGGGACTGACTATGTGATTAGAGGGTTGGAACTTTCAGCCCTATCCTGACCTCCCCAAGAGGAGAGGGAGGCTGGAGACTGAGTTCAATAACATGGCCAGTGATTAAATCACTCATGCCCACATAATTCCAGTTAAACACTCCGAAACAACAAGGTCCAGAGAGCCTTCTGGTTGAACACATGGATGTGCTGGGAGGGTGGTATGCTCAGGTTCCACGGGAGAGGGCATGGAAGCTCTGCTCCCCCTTCACCCCCAAGACCTCGGCCTATGTATCTCTTGCATTTACATCCTTTGCAGTAAAAGCATATTAGTAAGTATAGTGCTTTCCTGTGTTCTGTGAATCTTTCTAGTGAATTATGGAACCTGACAGAGGGGGTCAGAGGAAGCTCTGAACTTGTAGTTGGTCGGGCAGAAGTGCAAGTAGCTTGGGCATCCCCGAGACTTATGACTGGTGTCTGAAGTAGGTGTAGTCTAGGTAGGACTGAGCTCTTCACCTGTAGGGTCTGTCCTAACTCTGAGTACTTATTTTCAGAAATGAATTAAATCACAGGACACCCAGTTGGTATCAGAATTGCGGGGAAGCAGCAAAGGAAGGTTCCACCAACGTTAGTTACCCGAAAATGGTGTCGCTAAGACAGGTACCAGGAGGAAAGCTACAGAAGACAAGGAAAGAAGGAAACTTAAAGCTACACCCGACATGTCTTGCTATCTCTACCAGGAAACCCACCAGCTAGGCCCCTCTGTGCTCGCCCCTCTAGGCCACCTGTCTACAAGGCGATTTTTAAAGGGAGAATTTCAAAATGCTAACAATGAAAGGGCAGGGATCAGCTGATGACCATTACCATCATCCTACACCTTGGAGAGGAAAGCTTTCACCTCTCAGCTCTCACAAACCTGGGACAGCCTGGCAGGTTCGACCCATGAGCAGGTCTGCCTCTGGACCAAGAAGGGTGACAGGAGTTTGAAACCTGGGGGGCATGCAGAACAGTGAGCAAAGCCAAGCCCAGGGTACTCACCTTTGGGGACAACACTTTGATGAGCTCGTTCAGGAAGCGGAACTTGGCCACCTCATTGTGGAACTTCTGCCCACAGTGGTTCACACACACCTCCAGCACCTGCGCAGACACAGGACCCCCATGAGAAGGGGAAACCATTGGCTCCAGGGCTCATTTCAAACCTGGTAAGTATTTGCTGAAATCATGGCTCAAGACTGAGGACACTAAAGATTGGGAGAAAGGGTGACACTTTTAGATTAAGAAAAAAGAGAACCTGTTTGCTCTTGTTGTAACTGACAGGTTTGTGCCCAGGAAACAGCTCAGTGGGGTACCCTGAGGTCACCCCACCTTTGAAGGAGACCCTTTGGGCAGGTGAAACCAGTCAGAGAATCACTTCCTTCTTTCTCCTTAGAGGCAGAAATTGGACATGGAATATCCAAGAACTGTTAAACTACAGGTTACCTGCTGGCACTTGAGTGACAAATTGGGCCTGTAAATGTTTTCTTTGGTCCACAATCTTGTTTAACATTTCAAATCAGTCACCAATACTGAAAAATTCAGAGAATTCATATATTTAAAAATCTAGATTTCCAGTTTCTCTTAAACAGAAGTCCTAGCAACACTGGGCCCAAACTCACGCCTGGCAACAGCCAGCAGGTCCTGCACTGTGGCTGCCCTCTTTCGACTGGGCATGGGCTCTCCAGTTCTTTGGTCCCCACCCAGCAGCTCATTCACTTATGTTACCAATCTGGCCCTGTGGGACTTGACCTTGCCAGCCCTGGTCGAAAAAAGGCAAAAAGAAATAAAGCCTTCCTTTCCTTCTTGCAAAGCGGGCTCAATACTACTCTCCAGAAACAGATCTAGAATGGGGCAATCTGAGCCCAGAACTCCCTCCAGCCTGCTTTCTCAAGGCCAGTGAAGGTGAACCTCTCAAAGCCTCTTCCCCACAGAAATGCTAGCCTCAGGACAGGAGAGCTTAGGCTAAGGGGCAAGCCGAACTCACCGTTAAGGCATAAAGAGCTTCTTTCTCTTGTGGAGACTGGATCTTGTGGGCCAGTAGCCAAGGTGCATGGGTTGAGCTAAGGGAAAACAAAGACACCTGGGTTCTGGGCGGAGAGGAACACACCAGTCTGGCTGAGCACACCTGGTAAAGTCCCCTCTCCTCCAGGAGCTCGGGACCCAAAGCAGAGGCGGGATGTGACTTCACATGGCCAGGCATGAGCCCCTGAAGGCGGCCAACTCCCATCCACCCTTCTCATAGCTACACTTCCAGGGCACACCATCCTCTCCCCAGTCAACCCACCCCTACAACTTCCAGACCTGTGAGTAACTTGGTCGTGAGCAGCACAGACCTCGTCTGTCATATGACAACTGCTCAGTTAACACTAGAGCAGAAAATGTGATCAACCTTCTTGCTCGTTTCAAAATGAATATTCAGCAACATGGAAATAAAACATCCGGATGACTGACTCAAGAAAGACTGACTTAAGAAAGACTGCATTTAAATTATGGAGAACGGATGACTTAAGAAAGACTGCATTTAAATTATGGAGAACACACTGATCTTTCACATTGCTACGTACCCTAGCTACGTTCTATCCCTAACATTCAGAGATCTCCTCAGGAGTAGTGTTTCATAACACTATTTAAAATTTTTTAAATAACTGCCAGTTACAAACTGACTATTTGTTTTTTATAAAACCACAGGAATTTGCTATTTCTAGAAAAATAATGTACTCAGTAGATCATGGAGGGAGAAAAAAAGGAAACAACAATCTATGCTACGTAAAACAATCCTGAGAAACAAAGGCATGCACAGTCTGAGGCGCCCCCAAAGTCAAGCACGGGTGTGAAGTCACCTTACCCATTGGGATCAGTGTTCACTTGGTCACAGAAATTCTGAATAGCTGACCAATCCTGTTCTGACATGCTTGGGTCTGTGGCTTTATCTGTCAAGGAAATAAAAAATAAAATTAAAGTATAATAAAGAGAAACAAACACCTCTCCACACCACTAGCCCCCCAAACATGACAACAGCCAAGGACTGTGACATCACCTCTAGGGGATCAGAGCCAGTGAGCAGATAGCTGAAAGGGACAGGGGACTGTACTCATCATCACTGTCAGGCACAGTGTCTGGCCCATGATACGGCCTCAGTGACTGTTTGCTGACTGAATGAACAACTAAACTGGTTAACAAGCTACTGTCCTGAAAGGGGCTCCATTCCCAGTGCAGGGGATGGCCTATGTGCACCTTCCTCATGCCCGTGTCAGGACTCCCCCACTTTGGCCCTGCAATGAGGACGGGCTTGGGCCAGCATCTGGGCATGGGCCAGAACCTGTAAGCTTCTTAGCCATGTGACAGGAAGGCTGGAACATACAATGAAGCCCGGAGTGGCTCCCACCATATCCTCAAAGTAACAGGCCTAAACCTGAGCCTCCATTTACTGAAATCTGACCGTCCTATGTAAGAAGCTTCTCCACATGTCAGTGGCTTATCCAGTCTGACAAGAGGACCTCCTTGCCTTCACTCCTCAAAATGCTATTTCTCTCTGCTACCATACACATGGCCAAGGAACCCAGATCTAGTCACGCTAGGGTCTCCCCCATTGGAACATTCATATTCGGATGAAATCTGAGGACACGGAGCATGAAGAGCACCAGGGCACAGCCAGGACCAGGAGATACCTGGAGAAAGAGGGATTGTCAGAAGGCCTAATGTTGAGACCATGCTCCACGGAAGGGAGGGGCAATCCTTGACTTCCTGGAATAAGGGGTTGTGTGTATCTTTGCTGGTGCTTGATGGTAGCAGCTTCTTCCTCTCCTCCCACTGCTGCTGCCTAGAATCCCCAGCCAGCAACCCAACAAGGATGCCCATTCCACACGCCCTGCCCCCAGACTGAACCAGGCCACATTCTCACAAAGGAGTTGCTGAGACTGTCTTCGTCCTGCCCTTTCATAACATTTCCCTTACTCCCCACTGTCCAGCCTGTCCTGGCCTACCTGGCTCTCCAGTGAAATATCTTACTGGTCCTGAAAGAGAAGCTCGTTCAAGCTCTGCAAATAAGTAATTCTTATGGTCACATCTCTGACACTATTCCTCTTGCCTGAATGTCCACTTCTCTCCTCTCAAAATCCTATCCATTCTTCAAGGCCACTCTGAATTTCCATTTCCTCCCAAAACCCTCCTCCCACTGCTCCAGCCCCTACTAATTCTCCTTCCTTCTGATCACTTAAGACTACACCGTCATCCAGAGTTTAACTTTTCCAGACAGCAGTCACATTTAAGTCACACAGAAGTCATGTGCCCCACAGCTCGACAATGAGATTCAGAGGACAGGTACTCAATCCCCCATCCTCCCACCCACCAACTCCATCCTAAGCGAAAAAAGACAACAAAGGAGAGCAAAGGAATTAGATGATCAATTCCCATATGCCCCTCACCTTTTTCCTCCTCAAGGCTCTTTCCC